AAGTACATTTTTTTTCTCCTTTGTCACTAGGCCGACTTAATATTACGTACCCGATGCTGTTTAAGCTGACCAATAAAAATTCAGACCGAATGACACACTGTGGAGTCCTTGAATTTGTGGCCGATGAGGGCATATGTTACCTTCCACATTGGGTGAGTTGTCTCATGCTGAACTCTCAAAACCTGAAGAGTAGGATTATTGAGTTGTCAGTTTAATATTAAAGAGGTGGAATGTTTCCTGAAAGTGTGTGCCTTTGCTATTCAGCAGCATTCAGTCACAGCTCAGGTTTCCCTCCACGAGAGTTTAACTAACTAAGCAAAGCAGGCTGCTTTTTAAGATGCACTTTACTGTTCTTCCAGAAATTAAAACATAGTAAACTGGTGCATTTCAGGGAAGATAGTGGCCCTAGCAAAAATAAGTATACTCAAGGAAAGAATTAGAAACATCAGTCTTGTTGATAGTGATTTGTATCTTTGTATTCATTCTTGCAGATGATGCAGAACTTGCTGCTGGAGGAGGGAGGCCTGGTACAAGTGGAGAGTGTTAATCTTCAAGTTGCTACTTACTCAAAATTCCAGCCACAGAGTCCAGATTTTCTTGACATCACCAATCCCAAAGCTGTGTATCCTTCCTATCAATTACAGAGCAGAGAACAAAAGTTTTCTCCCAAACTGGCAAAATGAAGCAGAGCTAGTTTTTCAGGTGTGGCTCATACTCTTCTAGTAGTAGGTAACTACAGCTGCTCCTTCTGAAAACAGAAGGATGGAGACCTTATGCACAGAGATGTTGCAAACTGCTGGCACAAAGCGTAGCCTGGAGTGAAGAAGTGTGAATCTTGGCTTAAAGTCCAAGGAGTTTGAGTGTCCTTTAGAAGAACTAGTACACCCTAATGTTTACTAAAAGGCTGTTTACAATACTGATGGCTTTTAAACAACCTTGGAGAGACTAAGGATCAGAGTTTTATGGCATGGTGACTTTAAAGCATTCAAGTTGCATTGAAAACAAATGTTTCATCTTAACATACTCCAAAGATTAGAAAATGCATTGAGAAACTTCGCTTGTCTAACTACTGGGGATGTCATTGCCATCAACTACAATGAAAAGGTATAGTATATAACACGAGTCCATGCAGGTTTTTTTGGATACCATTAATTTGAGGAAGTAAATTCTGCCCCATGTAAGAAAGTACACTGTATTTCAGTAGATTGTGACCACATAAGTACTTTGTACATCTTGTGAATAGATTTTTATAGATGAGTGGTTTTGGCAACATGGGCACATTTGATCACTTGGGGTTGTAGACTAAGATCAGTTGTTGGAGTTTGGTGCTAAAACAGTCAGCACAAAGCTGTGCAGTATTGTTGTCAAGTAATTCCAGATGGTATATTTTACAATTGATTTTCTGTTGGGAGAGAAACCGCGAGCCGCGCGGTGTCGGCGGTGGCACAACGGGGAAGGGTTCGAAAAGAGGACGTCTGCTTGGAGTTGAGGAGCGTAAAGCGGTCTTAACATCCAGCGGGAGTTTTTTCAGTGTTTATCTGTAAAAGGGCTTGATTTCAGTTACTCTAATATTCCCTTCCTGATGTGAAAAGCTGCGACATTACAGGCAAAAAGTATTTGAGTTGTGCAGAAATGCTCCTGGCTACAGCCCCATGAACACTGAAAGAGCCCTTCAGCACAGGCTGCAGCATAACTTGTCCTTTCAGCCAACTATGGTAACTTCTGAGGGGGAGGGTACCACATAAGAGGTAGTTTTCTTCATAATGGAGGACTCGGAGGCAAAATATAAATGTGACAGTTAAAAGCTAGTATCCTGGCTTACTTCTATACCATTTGGCACTCTACCTTGTTTTTGAGGTAAAACTATTTGAGATAATAGTCACAGCGGGAAATAAGCTCTCTAAGACTGGAATGTCAAACACTTGGTAATATTTTTTCCTGTATTTCAGGAAGCTCTGTGCAAGAGTGAAAGAGCTCGAGTTATGGAAAAGCAGAAATATCCTCCAGTGTGGACGCTCAGAAAGAGCCCACCACCTGACTGGTATATGCCACTCGACCAAGACAAATCAAATTAGCAAGACTGTTTTGCTCTTTGGTCACTAATGTAATACACAATGCACAACTATGCTGTGTGGGTTTTTTTTTTCTCCCATGTCATCTTGAAATTATCCTATAGCTCTGCCCTGCAATATTTTAGTACTCATTAAAAAATACTGGGAGTTTAATTTAAACACTTGGTACTTTTTAAAGGGAAAATTGAGGTGCTTAATTTGTTTCTGGTCTCTTACTACTGTCTTACGCTTTAGATTTCATCTCCGCAACTCAGCAGGGAGCTCCCATGTTAGTGCATTGATGATCAAACTCCTCTTGCTAGATAAGGACCTATTCCCCTACAAGCCAGTGTTACTTTTGGAACAAGATGCCTGCCCCAGGCCTCCCTTACGGGAAAACAAAAGCAAGCTGGGATTCTTTCCTGCCATTTCAGGACAGTCATAACCCCTGGCATGGATTAAGAGCTTCTCACCTGGTGGGATGATGTTACAGATGCTTAATCTGCAACCCTGCCATTTGTGGAACTGCTCTTGACTGGTGGGGTGTGTCAATGGCAATATTCAAAATTACTACAAAAAAATGTTTAAATGACTGAAGAGAGATGTTATGGTTTAGGGCAAACCCTTACAAACAGTTACAATACTTACATGGCAATAAAAAAAAAACTACAAAATGATCTTCATTTTGGCTTTGTCATGGTATGTTTTCCCTCTTATGTACAGAAGTACTTCACTGAGTCTGAAAAGAAAAGCAGTAAACAGTCAGCTGCTGCCTTCCTTATAGTACAGACTGATGTGATGACTGTGACATTCTTTCCTCATGGCACAGGAATCTTTCAAGTTACAGTTTATCTAGAACCAAAAAATGCTGGTCAGGAATGTATGGAGGGATGAGAGATCTAAGCCCAGAAAGATAAAATACTCTGTGAAATACTACTGCTTTGTCTTGTTCTAGTATGGCACAAGTGTAAGGTAGTGTAGTTTTGTTGGGTGTCTTACTGCCTAGAGCACTGTTTAAAAAAAACTCAGATACTTCATTAATGTTGGGGGTTTTTTTACAGTCAAACACCTCCAATATTTTAACCTTCAGTAGGAATTGTTTATTCTTACTCCATTCATTTCTCCTTCAGTTGGCTGAGTAGCTCATGCCAGATGAACAGCAAACTCCTCCATCACTGTGTATACACTTTGGTGATGTCAATGCATTTTCCTTCAGGAGGATCATAACCGGGAAATGGTGGGGTATAATTAGGTCCGTCTCTCTCGAAGGGTAAAAGCCTCTCATCTCGTCTGATAGCTGCCTGGTACAACTCCTCAGATTCAAGGCGCAGTTCCTTTAGTGCCTCTTGCTGAGCTTCTACAAGAGCCCGAATTGCATTCTTTTCTGCCTTATCTTGTTTCAGCTTAAACAAACTCCACTTTTTCATAAGTAAAACTCTTCTTTCAGACTCCTCAAATGACAGAGGGGGAAGACTTCGCACCCTGATAAAGAATAAGTTAATATTGTAATAGAGAAATTGCCTGTGCCCCAAAGAGCAATTTTTTTTTTTTTTAAATCAACCAAAACAACACCCCCACCCCCCCCAAACCTAGAGAATACACTTCATTCATGCAGTGTCTGTCTGTCAGGTTTTCCAGGCATTCTAACAGAAAATTCATGTTACTATATTTTTCACTACTTTTAGCAGGAGCAAATAAAATCATCTTCCTGCACTTTTGTCCTGGTAGAAGTAAATGAGGTTTTGCGCCAAGGCTGGCACTATATTGCAGTTTTGCTGACAAATTAAAAGTATTTCTACTATGAATGCAAGCACATGGTGAAAGACAAGTCTTACTGACCTGTTGCCATCTGAGTACTTAAGTGGTGTTATAAAATCCTCAACTGGAATCATTTCTGGGGCAGCTTTTTCCAACTTTTTAATCTTCTTTTTCATACGATCCTTCTGTGCTTGCTCCTTCCTTACATCCACTTTCTTCTTCTTCTTTGGTTGTGCTCTACAGGGAAAGTAATGAGTGAAAGAATGTATTTTGTCATTTAATTCAACACCAGCAGCTTTCACTTCCACTGTACTTTTCTAAGGACTGTTCCTTCCTGCTTCATTTGGTCCCTAATAGAAGTTCCAGCCATTAGATCTATTCAAATAATGTAATTTCCAGGAGACAGTAATATGCCTTGTGAAATTTTCTGCAGAGCGCGCTCTATCTGCCTGAGAAAAGCAACCTCTAATTTTGTGCTGAACATCAGAATGACCTGAGGAAGTTCCACAAAAATTAAACTGGAATTGTTCTGCACTAGCTCAGAGTGCAGCAGAGCAGGTAACAGGTTTATCTACAAATATTCCTGTCATCTCACATTAAAGAAGAAAATGAGTGGGTTTACACATGCTCCTAAGATTTCTGCATTTGGAACCAAATTCAGTCTGTGGATGTTCTCTCCTGTACTGTGTACTTCACACAGATCCAGTATAGCCAAAGTAACATATGGCACGCTCCATGAACACAGACTAATCCTCACAGCAGATCTGAGAGACATAATTCCTGTCTTAAAGATCAAATAAACTACCTTCATGGTGTGAAACGGTCTTTCTGATGGTACCCAATAGCTACCAGGATATTTTAAATCCAGTTGCATCAAACCAAAACATGGATGCCAAAATGTAACATATACTTAAATGCAGCCTGTCTAGTATACCACTTTAGTAAGGTACTTTCGCTTCAGTTGGGCTTTTATTTGCATTGTTGCTCAAAAGGGAATTCTGGAGCACAGCATAAATCCAGACATCTCCAGCCACATTCTGCAGTTGAGGAAACAAATACAACTACACAAAAGCATAAAGCGGTAATTGTATGGGCTACCATTAAACTCTGCTCGAGACCAACAGTTCTTAACTACTTTACATATAGTGACTTAAAAGCAAACATCTATAGTTAAATTTGTGTTCCCTTGTAACTCCATGGAAGCTACACTCACCTCATTGGGAGCGACGCCCTAAACGCCAGCAGCGAGGTCTGCCAGTGCCTTCCTCGGAGTGGAACCGACTGGGGCAGCCAGGAGCTGTCGAAGGAAAAGGAACACAAAGTCCAGGGAGAAACTGATGACATTGATTCTGCACAGTAGTACGAGGGCTATTTACTAGTCATAACTTAGAATGATGAGCTTTGAATCATCTTTGGCTACTTAATTCATGACAGTATACAGTGTTTGCCATGAGAGGATAACTTCAAACTCTGGCAAGGTAACTAGACCCAAAATTGGGGCTGTTTGGCGCTGTGAAATCCACAGGGTGCCGAGGGGTGAAGCAGATGCACTTAAGTCTATGAATAGGTTAGAGTAATTTTATTCTTAAACTCTGATAATGGCCTCTCTACTGATGTTGGAGAGGTAAAACCAACTCCGTGCAAATCCGAAGATAAGAAACGCCGTTTCTCAAATCTCGGCGGGTGTCACGAGAACCGGCCCAGGTGCCCGCACATCAGCTGCTCAAGGTGCGGAACCAGCCGCACACACCCCACTCCGCTCCCGACCCCTGAGCCAGGCCCAGGCCGCCAGGGCACCCCTGGGGAGGGGGCGAGGCAGGAACCCCGAGCAAGGGGCACTTCGCCGGGCTTCCTCCCCACGGGCCGCGACGGAGAATTCCGGAAAGCCGCTCCCACCCGGCTCCTGGCTCTCCTCCCTACCTGAGCCGGGCGCCGCCGGACGCTGCCCGGAGCGCGGCCGCCAGCATGGCTCCCGGCCGGTGCCCGCGGTGCACCCGCACTCCCCGCCGGCCGCGCCGCAACCCCCGCGTCCCCTGTTCCGGCTCGCGATGGTTCCGCCCGGGCCCGCCGTGCGAGACCCGAGGGAAGTCTGTCTCTTATAC